TGAAACTGAATGCATTTACAATCCTATTAAATATGGAATTGTGTCTGTGGGCCAACAGTAAATTCAAAATATCTTTCCCTGCAACCGTTTCTTCTTTTTTTTTTTTCTTCTTTCTCATACATTTTCTGTTTGGCACTTGTTTCCTTCACTCTCTTGGTGAATCTGTTTGAGGCTGTGAATAATTTGCCCGTAACTTTAATGGAAATAGCTACACTTGACACAATCATAATTGCAAAAATACTATATCGCACTTTTCCATCAGCATCATGAAGACATTTTTTATGACTTATGATTGTGACAGGTGGTTGCTTTCATCGTAAATGAAAAGCAGTTTTATAAAGTGCCACAAAGATATAAAATTAAATATTAATATAAAATGTAGTTTTACTTCAGAGCCAGGGATGCAGTGTTAAATCTTCCTGAAGAAGCGACCTTGAGCTCATCGAGAATGTAGTTTTTTTTGTTGTTTTTTTTTTTTTTTTTTAAAGTATCAAATTTGGCTCTCTGTGTTATTATCATCTCTAACTGTAGAGTGTTATGTGAAAGTCAGTACCTTGAAAGTCAGGCAGGTCAAAATGAGCAGAAAATCCATCACTGCAAAAACATTCAATATTACATTTTGGACATTCCAACAATACAATTACATGTAATATGTAAATCTAGCCACAACAAACTGCGGAATTTGCACGACACAACGAAAACAGCCATCTGGTAAATAACCTTTCTCAACCATAAACAACCATTTACTCATCATAAATTCACATAAACTCCTCCGTGTCCCAGTTCAAACTAATGCTGTATTGTAGTATAATAATCCATCTATCACAACAGCCATTTGACCTGGTTTAATGTAATCCAAAGAGAATCGCACACACTGAATCTATGATCACCTTTGTTCTCATTAGTTTAGAAATCAGTCTTTACACAGTGTGGCTCTAAATTGAGATGAAAGAAGAAGCACCTGTTTAGTAACCTGTTTAATGAGCCATCCTGAATGGTTTCATCTGTTTCCTTTGCTGTATTAATGGTACATTATGATATTATTTTGCTACTTCAGTAATGTAACTGTGACACCCTCATGTTGCCTTCTGCATTTGCTTTGTCCTTGTGAAATATTATCAACATTTTCATACAGACACTCAAGGTCCCTGGATATATTGACTTTGGTGATACCCTGACTTTTCCTCTATAGTGCCACCATGAGCCTCTGCAACTATGGATTGCCATTGAATTTGGTAGAGACATTTACGTCCGTCATGTCCAGCTATGCATGCATTTGACCTCACCTTAGCTTACTCAATTTTGGATTTGTCTGCCTTGTTTTCTTTGATTTTGCTGCACCTTTGCCTGAGTCGGAGGGTGCACAGTTCCCCACAGTATGAATCGTAAAAAAATGTTGGTGATCCTGTAATTTTTCCATCATCAGCTCCGTTTTATTTGTCAATTATTTGTTGTATGAAAAACTAATAACATTCTCAGCCTCAGGTATGCTTTGTATTCAGAGCTAACTAGCAAATGTTAGCACGTTAACACCAAAAGCTAAGATCATATGGTAAACATTATACCTGCTAAACATCAGCATGTTAGCATTGCCTCTGTAAGCATGTTAGCATGCTGATAGCTCAGAGCTAAATGTTACCGCTTAATCTTGATTTGAGCCGTAGTAAACTAATTTACTCTCCCAGTAAAACTTCACCAGTCAATGTGACAAGTGTTTCAGCCATGAAAGAAGAGTTGAGTGTTTAGTGGTTAGTGCTAATTGATTATTTGGCCACTTGGAGTGCAACAAGCTGTAAATGCGACAATGACGTAGTATCACCTTACAAAACTGGTGTTAGCAAACACTTGGCTACTCACATCCAGTGGTGAGGGTGAACCAAAACAATTCTGGACCATGAAACCAAAACAATTGAACAACTTAATAAAAGATGCTAAAACACTCTGTACAGGAGAGGAAACATTACACAGGTTCAATTTGATCTATCATCATGATAAAAACTTTGAATAGTGCAGCTTTTATTGTAAACAGGTTTTGGTCAGTTTACTCATTCTCACAGAATCCCCCTGAGTGTGCAGTTTCATCACTGGAGCACCTCCAAAGTTAACCTCTTAATAAAAGCTCAAGGTAAAGGCAACATCAGGAATTCAAATGGACCAAGATGTGAGTGGCGCTTTCACATAAACACAGTAAAGAAACCCGGTGGCAGGGAAAAGAAATTGATATTTTTTACCTGTATTTTACCTTGTATTATACGCTGGAAACTAAGCATTATTCACCATGGAAGAAATCAATTTGAGGATGACAGAGAAACAGATGACAACAAATAAAATTTCATGCATTTCAGTAGTCTGAATGAATGTAGTGTACATTCCCCTTATTTTTATCATTTAGGGTGGAACACTCGAGTATGCTGAACTCCAGCTTGTAGGAATCAACATATCTTAACTTCATTACACTATACCTCCTATATGTATGTTTCCAAAACACTATCTAAACACAGTTGAATCCCCAGTGTGATGATTTTAAAAACAAATACATTCTGTCTGCAGCTCTACGCTTATTTGGAAGATGGTACTGTAAAATCACCCACCTACCTTTGTTGTTTAGTTCAGCCTCTACTATTTCAGTCTGCCTCTGCGGGTTTTTCATAGTGTTTCAGATCATTATTGGTATTGTTAGAATCATTGCTTCAGTTGTTGTTAGTGCTTCAACCACAGCACACTGTGGACTAATGAATTCTTGAGAGTAAAATACACACAAGCTGTCATCTTCAACAACTCTCCTCCACCCCTCTATAAGATAGATGAAGAAGTTTTGTAAATATTAAGGGATAAATTGTGAGCGGGCTTTTGTCTAGATGATGGGAGGAAGAGCAGTTATACACTGTGTTTTTCAGGACTCCAGCAGAACAAAGAAGTGCAAAAAGCATAATTAATACTGGAGAAGAAAATGCACTGTATCAAATCTAATAAGTTCCACCAGAGGTTTGACAGAACATCTAAAAATAAGGAATGGGCATGCACACATATTTGATGGAAAGTAAATCAGTGAAGATTTATGGATATTGAGGAAAAAATATTTAAATTTTGTTTACACAGCCAATTCCAGCTATCACATTTGAAAAATCTGGGAAATTAACTCAACAAAGGTTGAAACTGTGTCAACACCTAACAAATACAACAAAACAGGAGCACATGTTGCAATCCAATACAGTATTCCTGCAACAGCAAAGTGTATAATGTTACATTTAGAAGTGTAGACTGTGTGGTGTTGTTGTATTGTGTCTAACTTGAGCACAAAGGTCACTATGTGGCCAAAAGTATATGGACAAGCATGTGAACAACATATTACATCAATAATTGGTTGTTGGAAATGTAATTCTAAAACCTTGGGCATTAATGATCTGTCTTAAACACCCCTGGCCCCTTCTGGGAAGGCTTTCCACAAGACTGTGGATCCAGTCTGCACAGATTTTCTCTTGCAGAGATTTGTGACATGGGGCACTGATGTTGAGTGATAAGGTCTGTCTCACAGTCAATATTCCAGATCCAGCCCAAAGGTGCTGGATGGGGTTGAGATGAGGTCTCCTTGGAAAAACCTTGAAATTCTCATCTATATGAACTTCGATTTGTGCATTGTCATGTTGAAAAAGAAAAGCCCCTTCATCCAAAATGTTGCAAGATTTATTATCTAATTATTACTTTGCCTACATTATTGTCTAAAACATCATTGTGTGCTATAGCAGTAAGACTTTCCTTCACTGGAGCTAAGAAGCTCAGCATAAACTATTCAAAACAGCCCCATTACATGTACTTGTGTCTATATAGAGGACTCTCTCTTCCTGTTAACCTGTGCATTCAAAGTTTCAGAAAATAAATGGCCAAATGGTAAGTTGAATTCAATGTGTTTTGAAATTCCTAACACTTGCTGAATTGAGTTGTGTTTTCACAGTGGGGGTGGGATACTTATACATGTACTTATACATCTTTATCATGAGATGTAAGTATTTCCCTTAAATCAGGAGAGAGGCTAGTTGAGGTCTTAACTCTAATTTGGAAAGATAAAGAGGACTGGAAAAAGAAACGATCTCTTCATCTCAAATTTGAGAGAATTTTCTCAGAAAAAATCTCTTGAATAAATCCTTTATCTGTTGTTGTCTAATTGGGGTGGTGGGATAGGACAGTACTGATTACTTTTTCTTTTTTAGAGGCCTACACAACAGATAACCAGAAAAACAAAACTCTCCTATTGTTATATCAAAAGATCGATCTCGCATCAGTCCTCCTTTAGAGAGGTTGTAGATGATAATTAAGCTGTTCTCAAATGAGATGAGCGCTCAACAAAACCAAAAACAACTGAGATGCCCTTGTGAGTGCGTGCACACACACACACACAAACAAAAAAAAAAAAAGAGAGAGAGAGAGAGAGAGAGAGAGAGAGAGAGAGAGAGAGAGAGAGAGAGAGACAGACATGCACAGTGGCGCGCCCCATAGACAATAAACTAAACATCAAAAGAAGAGGAAATAGGCTTTTGCTAAATAAAACCATCACTCGGTAATGGCTGTGGTAAGACGATAAACAGTGCAGGGACTATCTTCAAGCAGTGCCATATCTTTCTGCCCCCCTCCTCCTTTTTTATTTATTTTTTATTTTTTTATTTTGCAACTTTCTTCAGTGTGCACTCTCAAAACAGTCTTAGAGATTTTTTTTTTTCATAAGGGGGTATTTTTAATTCTAAAGCGAGGGATTGGTCACACTTGGTCTCATTAGCATGAGGAGCTGTATAAACCCCGCCACGGCAGAATTTTGAGCTGTGTTGAAGGCGAGGCAACAAGCGTATCTGACTGGCTGCGCGCAAGGAGCAAGTAACTTTCACTTTCAGCACATTTCAGTTCATAAAGGCGGGAGCTGCATGGAGAGCTCGCTCCAGAGGTGAACCGGTCCCATCTGTTCAGCACGCACAATGAGGCTGCCTGCCGAGGGAAAGATTACTACGAAGATGATGCGCGGCAAAAAATTTATAACTTACTGGTACCGGTGGATTTTTATATGCTCAATCCATCAATTTTTATTTGCCTCAGTGGCTCAATCCGAAGGAAATACTATACGATACCAGACCAGTGAGGAGGACGCACCAGGTACAGTCATCGGAAACCTTGCCAAGGACATGTCCTTGAGTCTGTCTCATTCCTCCAAGAGCAATTTTAGGATGATGAAACAATTCAATGATTCATTCATCAGGGTGAGAGAAAGCGACGGGGAACTGACTGTCGGGGAACGAATTGACAGGGAAAGAATCTGCAGACACACTCCACAGTGTCTTATTACTTTTGACGTGGTAAATTTCTCCAAAGATCGCTACAAATTGATTCACGTTGAGGTGGAAGTAAAGGACATCAATGACAACTCTCCGGAGTTTCCAAACAAGGAATCCGTAGTGGAGATCTCAGAGAATGCAGCAGCGGGGTCCCGTATCCCTCTAGACCCAGCTGTGGACGCTGACGTCGGGTCAAACTACATCCAAAGCTACCAGATTTCTGTCAACAGTCATTTCACCATTGATGTGCTCCTGAGAGCGGATGGGGTTAAATATGCGGAATTGGTGCTAATGAAAGAGCTAGACAGGGAGACTCAGTCATCATACACTGTGGAGCTGGTCGCCACAGACGGAGGGAACCCATACAGATCGGGGTCAACAAAGATAACTATCAAAGTGACTGACTTTAATGACAATAGTCCCGTTTTTGACCAGAATAGTTTCTCAGTCAGTTTGCCAGAGGACGCGCCAGTTGGCACTGTCATCCTGGACTTAAACGCAGTTGATGCAGATGAGGGTTCAAACGGAGAGGTCGTCTACGGGTTCGGAAAACAGGTTTCTCACGAGATCCGAGAACTTTTCCAAGTGGATAATAAATCGGGTCGCCTGACGCTCAGGAGCCCGGTGGATTTTGAGGACAAAAGCACCTACGAGCTAGACGTGCAGGCGACTGATCTGGGACCTAACCCGACCCCCTCCGTGTGCAAAATCATAATTCATATCACAGACGTTAATGACAATGCCCCAGAAATCAGTATCACCCCGATGACCTCCATCACGACAGGCATCGCCTACATCAGCGAGGCGGCAGACAAGGACAGTCTGGTGGCGCTGATCAGCACCTTGGACAGAGACTCGGGTGTTAACAGCCAAGTCCACTGCACATTGTACGGCCACGACCATTTCAAACTCCGTCAGGCGTACGAGGACAGCTACATGATAGTTACAGCAGCAGCCCTAGACAGGGAGAGGATTAGTGAGTATAACTTGACGGTCATGGCTGAGGATTTTGGGTCACCTCCGTTGAGAAAGATCACTCAGTACACCATTAGACTCAGCGACGAGAATGACAACGCCCCTCACTTCACTAAGGCTGTCTATGAAGTTTCAGTGGTGGAAAACAACGCCCCGGGGGCTTACATCACCACAGTTGAGGCCAGCGACGCGGATCTGGGCAACAATGGCAAAATTACTTACAGACTAGTGGACAGTGTTATCATGGGGTCCCCAGTGAACACCTTTGTGTCGCTTAATTCAGTGTCTGGCTCTATATATGCACTAAGAAGTTTTAATTATGAAGTAATGAAGCATCTAGACATACACATCCAAGCCAGTGATGGGGGGTCACCACAGCTGCAGAGCACAGCTGTCATCAGACTGAAAATAGTTGATCAGAATGACAACCAACCTTCTATCATAGAGCCACCCCTTTACAAAGGATCTGCTGAGGTTTTCCTGCCCAAAGATGCACCTGCAGGTTATGTGGTAACCCAGATAAAGGCCACAGATGCTGATGAAGGCACGAATGCACAGCTGTCCTATAAAATCACCGAGGGGGGACACCTGGGTTTCTCCATCAACAAAGACACGGGGAAGGTGCACGTGAGCCGACAGCTGACATATGATCTCACAGACAATGTCAAAGTCACAGTGTCGGTCAGTGACAATGGATCCCCTGCGCTTACCTCCACAGCCATTATACACTTAAGTTTCATAGAGGGTACTCTCCCCAGCTTGCCTTCCTTTGCTCAAAATGGCAGCGAGGAGCTCTTTGAATGGGACATGTCCATAGCCATAATCATTGTACTGGCAGGGAGCTGCTCTCTCCTCCTGCTGGCAATCATTCTCATCACAACCATTTGCAGCCGCCGGAAAAAAGAGACAAGGGAGAGGGGGTGTGATGAAAAAGACGACATACCAAATGTGGAGAAAGTGGAAAGTGGTCATATTGATTCAGTGATTGCCAACCACAAAGGCAAAGTGTTTGATGCCCATCCATTTCCAGAGAAACCTCCATTGGCCGGCAGCAACACAGCAGAGCCAGGCTGCGAGGATGGAAGGCAGACAGCAGGTATCTTTGAGTCAAACAGCAGAGTGATGGAAGGTAAATTAAAGGTAAGTTGCTCTCTTTATCAGAGAGATTTCAAGTTTTTCACAGGCTGACTATGTTGTTGACTTTCGGATTTTGACTCAAAATTTGTTGCAACTCTGTCTTTTGCAGGGTTATTCTACACTTCCAGGATATGGGAAAGAAACTGTCAGACCAATAACAATATGGAAGGGTAATTCATTCACAACCATATCAGCAAGAGATCCCCACATCAGTGGCAAGGACAGTGGAAAAGGGGACAGTGACTTCAATGACAGTGATTCTGACATAAGTGGAGATGTGCACAAAAAAGAGTCGCCACCAATGAACAGTGAGTGTCAGAAAAGCACCATAAAAATAATAATAAAACAGAAATTCAGCAGGAGTCAAATGAGAATATGTGAAGATGAAATCCATGCAGTGTTATAACTGCATCCATTTTGCTTCCCACAGTGTAATTTATATTTGAATATAGAACAAAATCTATGCCACATACCCAACAGATTGCATCCAGTTACAACAAAACATTTTCCAGTCCACTGGCTACATTATGATTGATTTAACTTGGGCTCAACTGGGGTTTTCATATTACATCCTGACAGCACTGCTGTTTTCCACAGGTCTCTGGGCTTGTACAAGCGAGTGCAAAGTGTTGGGACACTCCGACCGATGCTGGAGCCCTTCAGCTACAAGGCCCAACACGAGCATGGCCTGTGGACCGCATCTGTCAACGTTCTCCAAGACAGCTTCACTTCCCCGGGACAGCAGGAGGGAAAACTACTATCCAGCTCACATAGCCAAAACCAACGGTCTGCAAAGTGTGTACGAACAAGTTCAACACCAGGAACTTGATTATATTCTCGTTGGTCCACCAACACCGGCCAGAATACAGGAAACAGATGAAATATCAATCCCAGAGTATACAAACTCTTAAATGAGAGATCATACACTGATCCAAAAGGATTTTGTCTTTATACTGTACAGTGCTTTTATCTTAACTGACTCTATGTTGGATTGTTGCGGTGTTTTGTAGTATGTCATGTGTCTTTTGGCTCATATAAGACTGTTCATTGTATCATGTGTAATATGCAAGATTTTGTACATTAATAATATATTTTTCATAATGATTCAATGTAAAGAAAAATTTTATTATGAATTTTGAAGAGCATGTGTTATTATTTAAGGGGCATGACCTACGGACATTTAATCTGAAAGGGGCCTTTCTGCTGTGGAAAACAATCAGTAAGGATTACCATGTTTGTGGTAGATTTTGTCACATTGTTGCACAAATAAACGGCTAAAATCAAATTGTTTTTGCTGTTGAGCGACAGTTTAAACATTTAGCCATGTGGGCTTGTAGGATTCAAATGCAGTCTTATTGACAGAGTCCAACCTATTGTCTTGAGGAAATAGTCATAAAACACACAGAATAACCTCAATTAGCCGACTGAATGCATTTCATTTGCCGTAAAGGCTTATAAGACACAATGAATCAAATGGACCTCCACAGCTAAATTGATAGCAAGCTTAAGCCAATGTCATATTCTTTTGATTGTACACAATGTGGTTACTGTGCAGCCTCAGTTTGCTACATTTCTGATCAAATGCTCTTTCAATTACATATTTTCAAAGGTCAAAGAATCCCCTCAACTTTCCTGATTGCCTCCCAGCTTACAAATTATCCAAAAAAATGTGGTTCGGTCTGTTTCCAAGCAACAGCAGCACTGCACATTTGAATCTCTTTTCTTTCTGTGTTTCTTCTTTTTAAGTTATGATAAGAACCAAGTATAACCTTGACCACAAAACTACCTTTCTCACATTGTCAAATCAGGAAATTCACAATTAAGAAAAGGTCATATGTGTTTGAGTGGCTGCAATTGTGTACAGTGATTGTAGGAATGTGAGGCCCAAAGAAGACCCACTCCAGTGTACAAGTTTGACTACAAGTAGTGCAATCTGGTCATTCCTGCTGACCCCAGTTACATGCAGTGGAACTGGAAGAAAATCTTTTGTACTCATGAATTTGTATAAATCATCATAATTACCCTTAGAGGATAGTCATAAAAAAGTTAAGCATGAAAAACAGTTCTTTGAAAGTATAGCTTGCTTATGCATACTTAACAGTATAACATAAGCCAGCTATGCTTATGTATAATGGCTTATATTTATGTGTACTTCTTTCCAACCAGTGCATCACTGCTTTGTAACGCATGACACCAGCCAATCTCTCTGATGAGCTCTGAGCTGCTTCAGAAGTCTTGTTTTAGTTTGGTACCACAGGATGGCCACCTTGCCTTAGGCAACCTGGGCCTACAGGTAACATTCAGACGAAGAATTTAGCTCAAAGAATTTATATCAACTGTACGTCATTCACACTCAAGTGTCAAATAGCCTTCTGGTGGATATCCTGATTCTCCAAAGAGAGGCAACAGTACTAGAGAAGGAATTATAGAGGACATCATGAAAGAGACTATGGAAAAAGTCCAAAATACCACTCATGGATATGGCTGTTTTGAACACAGCACGCCTCTGGTAAGACAGCCTTAATACATTTTTGATTAGAAATATAAATGACATCCGTGACATGTTAGTCTTGTAAGTTTTTTTTTAGTTTTTTTTTTTTTTTTAAATGTTACTCTTGTCCTGGTTCTTGTTCAGCGTGTCATTTCTTACTTTACTCTCTCGGAACTTTTAAGGGACAAAGCACATCCAGCACGCCCACCTCTGCTACAATCAGTCGCCTCCTGAGATTTGGAGCTGTGGTCCTTATTGTTGGTGCCGTGCTAATGCTGTGTGCATCCATGGCTGCTCTCTACCTGTGGAAAGTCAGTGATAAAAATGTAAGTGTCGGCAAAGGAAACACAGCGAAACAGGACAAAAAAATTTGACTACAGGCCTGATTGTTTGTAATTTCCTGAGACCTGTCATAGGAGGTATTTATGTTAATGACTGAGATGTTCCCATAAATAACTGTCTCAATTCAGACTGTGAAATTGCATCGTGAAGTCTGTCTACAATACATACATCAATTGTTCCTGCAAGTCTACTTCATCTTATGAGAAAGAATGCTGTTTATTTGTGTCCTAATGAGCTCACCTGTAGGGCAAACATCCCCATCAAGGTCTGCAATAGCATCTCCTGTGGTGCTTTGTTCAAATTGTCAGTGTGCTACAAGTACACAGGATTTCTGTAAGACAAGAAACAACACTGAGCAGGGGAATAGTATAAGTAGCATATAAAGCTTGTTTTTTTTTTCTGTATCTCACTTCTCTTGTGTTTGCCACAGTGTGGATTACATAACTCGACTAATCATTCATTTTAACTTCCGTCTTTGATTGCTGCCAGGTTTATAATGTTCGATACAGTATGAACATCAATGGGGAGGTGAGGGAGGGCTCGGTGGAAATTGATTCTGACAACAACCTGGAGAGATTTAAAACCGGGAGTGGAGCTGAAGAAGCGGTGGAGATTCATGACTTTCAAATTGTGAGTGAGTTTGTCCTTCTTCTCTCTTCCTGAGGTAGTTCAGCTGAGACATTTTTTTTTTCTGTGTGTTTAGCAAAGTAGCAGAGCTGTGAGTGTAAACATGGCATCTCTGTGATTTGGTGCAGGGAATAACTGGAATCCGCTTCTTTGGAGGAGACAAGTGCTATATAAAATCCCAAATCAAAGCCAGCCTTCCACACATGGGAGCTCACAACAAAGAGTCGCTGATGTTTGACCTGGTATACGCACACGACTTGATGCAGAACGTTGCAAATTGGAGAGAGAAAAAAAGACTAAATTACAGAGTTAAAAGCAAGCAGAAAATATTCATCCTGCTGTTAACACTGTAATTTATTTTTCCATTTGAGTAATTATAGGATATTATCTTTTTTTTTTTCTTGCCAGACTGATGAATTAATGCCAGTGAGGTTTGATGAGGAGTTCCTCATATGGGTGGCGGGAGAGCAGCCACTGAGTGACACCAGTTTTCTGAGCAACAAAATTCTGGGTCTTTGTGGGGAACTTCCCATTTACTGGCTCCAACCTACGTACCCTAAAGGTTGTCTTCTTCTCTTCTTTCCATTATATTTTCACTTATTCCATCCCACAGAATCTATTCTATATTCACTTATTCCATCCCACAGAATCTAGGAAAACTGCCCTGCTACCCTACAGCATAGATTACATGTGAATTATTGTACATTTCTTTATAGTTTAGTCAAATCGTGGTTGTGACCGCCCTGCTTACTGCCGACACACTTGTTAAATTTACAGTCTTGTCGGAGAAGTTGGTCGAACATCTTGAACACACTACATTTGGAGTCATACACCAAAAAAGGCTCCAGTCTTGTATTAAAAAAGAATGATGTTGAAATATGCAAGACTTCCTGATATCACTGCTGCTAATTTAATTATTCAGAACATCTGAGACAGGCCCAGCTATGTAGGATTGAGCTCTGAGGACGTGTATGGCGTCTTGTGGATGTTGACCCAATACTCTTGCCCCTTGTGGCTGCTGTAACAGATGGGGAAAGGGGAAAGAGAGACACGGAGCGAGCCAAACGGCAGTTTAACATGGAGGAGTTGGAGGCAGCTGCCGAGGAGAAGGAGCCGGTGAGTCACGCAGAGGATGACACCCCCAGAGTCGCGGAAGAAGAGGAGGGGGGACAGTCAACTGCAGGGTCAGCATACAATCCCGAAAACCCCTATCATGTGAGTACCGACTTCATCAACAGCACTGTGTACCATAAACAAGACTCCAGAGGTGGTGGAATTTTTGATTAACTATCAAGAGGCATATACTGAGGCCTGAAGCGACCCTCAAAGTAACATTATGAAGTGAAGTTTCTCTGTTTTGTCAACAGTTTTACAGATGACTACATAACACCCTCCTTAAGAGGCCAGCCTTGTTAAAAATGTATTCTCACAGAAATAGAAGTACATGGTGTGGAAATGTGTTAACCTGGATTTAGTGTTTCTGTCAGCTGTGGGCGGTATATACTACTGCTGCTGCTGCTGCTGCTGCTGTTGGGGAGGTGTCGTATTAGTAGCTATAATTACAGGTCACTGGGGTAACAGCTGCCATTCCAAGTTGATGAACTTATGAACTGAAGTGAAAATTCCCACTGGTTATAAAAATTCATGTTGCCTAAGAGAACTGGAGTCACGTGTTTTGAGAGGATGAGAAGTTTTTTGAAAACATTTGAATTGCAAATGTGTGTAAGTTTTTTTTTTTTTTTTTTTAAAAAGAGAGAGAGAGAGAGAGACTGCTCTTAGAAATTAACATTGCTTCAAAACTGCAGCGCAGCGGAGGAGCCAGAGAAGAAGATGCCGTGACCTTTGACACCATGTTAGACCACCAGGGGATCTGCTGCTCAGAATGCCAACGCAGCTACACTCACTGTCAGAGAATCTGCGAGCCTCTGCGTGGCTACTGGCCTTGGCCTTACAACTACAGAGGGTGCCAGGTAGCTTGCCGAGTCATTATGCCTTGTCGCTGGTGGGTGGCACGCATTTTAGGTGTTGTGTAAGTAAACACACTACATTCGTGAGGGAATCTTTTTTTTTTTTTTTTTTTTCACCCCCAAAGACCCAAAAAAAAAGGTCTCTAAAATCTCAGCCTCTGTTCAGATATGCACACAGATATTTATTTTCTGGCTTTGACTGTATATGGACAGAGCTACATCTGTTAACATGAAATGTTGATAGTGATGTATCTGTACTACAACACCTATGCTAGCTGACAGACTAGACAATTTTTTACATATATATTTTTTTTAGATATAAACAGGTGCTTTCTCTTTGTAGGCCAACACTGCTTCTTTACATACAGTAGAACTGGAATACATAAATGCCATATTCCTATTTGCAGCAACAGACTCACAAATGAGCACATTCATTTTTGCATCATGTAATACCAAGGCTTAATGCACTGTACTGTGTTTAATGGAGGGTATGGGACTGACTCCAAAGGCTCAGCAGATCATGTACCTTTTCTGACTGAATAGGCTTCAATAAATTCTAATTACAGTATATGCTGGCTTTGATGTAGCCAAAGGTTTTTGTGTGTGCGTGTGTTTGTGTGTGCGCGTGTGTCACATGTTTCCATGGTTCCACCGGGTGCTTTTCTGATAAAACTGAAGTGACAGCAATGGTTGCCATAACTTCCATTCACAGCTCTGAATCAGTTTGAGGGCAATGCAATTTGTGCACACTGACATCTGCATTGATGTGATGTAATGTGAGATGAGTGTCATGGCGATGATGGAAAATATTTCCATAAAAGTGACATTTTTATTAAATAAATAAATAAATGTTTTGTTTTTTTTTCTATGAAAAGAGGAGTGTTGATGCTAAGCTCCCAAATAATATGATCACAGAGCAAGGCTTTTTTTTTTTTTTTTTTGCACAGCTGTTACTGGGACTTGTGGCGTAGGGCATTCTGAAAACCTCAAAAATCAAAAGAAATCAGATTATTATCTCCAAAGCCATATGCCAACTTTCTAAATAACTGAAAGGAGCCATGTTGCGATCAGGACGATTTCACAGAGGGTGATCCAGGCGCATCAAATTACAACAGATGTGAAATTGCACCGTGTCTGCCACTAAAACCACATTGAAACTCTGAAGCAGTGTGAGGAAACAACACAAAGAGATGCTTGTCTCTTTGCTTGGAGATCTTTCCTGGTTTTCATGGGGGTAGAGGTGCTTATCACATCTGCAGTGCTGATAAGACGGCCTCTGTGCTTCCGTAGGCTATATAATATTAATCCCTCTCCCACGTCTGCAGATGCACTTAAAGGAAGGTGACAAGCATGACATATCCAGGACCTCCTGATGGCTCATGCTCTGGAGTGCAGCCGCTAAAAGAGCCCCAAGTACCCTCAAGTGATGTAAATTTGCAGGGGGAGTCCAATTTCCATCACAGCGCTGTCATTGCCATGGTCATTAAACTAAATCATCCCGCTGTGTGTCACACAGCTCCCATTTTAAAGTCCCCTCAATAATGGAGTTATACTTGGACTGCAGATTGTAGCACAACAGTGAATGTCTGACCTGACAGCAGCCGTAAGAGTTTCCTGCACATTATTTCATCTTTAGAAATCACAGACAGACAGTGTGCATGGGCGTAAGAGATACCTTGAAATAATTCATTATTTGAGAGACGTTTTGGTGTCTTAGTTGCACCAGCTGCAGTTCAACAGGATGATCTCTAAAGTTAGTAACCGCAGCTGGAATTTAAATATGATGTGTTGTGTGCCTGTTGCTGGTGGCGGTTTCCTTGGGTTTCACTTAGAATATGTTGATACAGCAGCACAAGACAAAGAGCTCTGAGTCTATGCTAGACAAAAGGAGATGAGAAACACAAAGCAAAAGGAGAAAAAAAAAACACATCACCACAAGCAACAGCTCAAAATGGCATTTAAACTGAGAAAAAATACATAGCTTGGTACAACAGCAGTTTTGTTATCCTGAGGCCCTGTTTCTAAAAAACTTGTTTCCTTTTACCATTCCTCTCCTAAGAAGAGAAATGTGCCCCCGTCGAGTAGAAAAGACGAATGTGTTGGAGAGCAGCGTCAGTGTGTGAGACAGTGGTGCCTTTTTGTTTGTCTCCCCTCTGGAGCCAAGCTTACCCTGGGAGCCCTGCAGGCCAGGGAACAAACAGGGCTTTGTGAGCACTGACCCACTGTTCCCAGCAGCCAGACTGCAAACCTCCACTCCTGTGCTAATAGGAAACCACAGATGAGAAGTCCGCAGCAGGGGGAGCTTTCTCGCATCCACCTGTGCTTTCATCATTGCCCATCAAAACAAGCATAGGCAGGCAGGGCGCTGTGGTGCTCTGGTGACCGCTGAATCAAAAGCTTTTTTCACCAACATCCTCTTGGCACAAACACTTTAGCAGAATACATTTGGGATACCGTAGCTGGTGATTTATTTGGTGGCATGGATTTGAGCTAATCAAGCCCGTGCACTCACTAGAGCTCCCTATAAATACGTCAATAGCTTGTCATAAATTCGCCTGTAGTTGCCCAAGAGGCATTAGGAGTGTGAATAGAAGTGTGAAGTGAACCACTCTAGTAAACGTGTCCTACATTTGATTGCATGTTTTCCATTACATCCAGACATGAATGAAATAAACAGTAGTGACAGTCCATTTTGCACCTTAACCAGAACACAGAAACCCTTTTAGGCAAGCTCATTATGTTTTTCTGCAAGAAAGCACTGCAATATGTTTATACATGCTGGCGTTGGGGAAAAACCTGTAACCCAGCTGCTTTTGCACTGGCAAAAACAACCCAGGCACAGAATATTTGTCTTTTCTTTTCTCCTGAATGGTCAGAAATAACATGGCTGGACGAAAAAAAGCGGGGGATGGGGGGGGGGGGCTTGGTACATGGCTTAAATCCCTTTTAATCCCATGGTTGAGTGACCACTTGCAGCTCTGCCCAGTAGTCTGACTCTGCCTGCCATTTGCAGGTCTCTCTCTGAAGTTTCTTTGCCATTGGCCGCAGCGTCCGCCTCACTCTCTCTATTTATTTCTCTCTCCCACTCTCGCTCTCTTCCTCTCTCATCCTCCTATTTAGTATGCAATCTCCCAAATGGCCATTAATTAAATGCCTGCTGATATTGTATAAAGATCTCTGTCTTGTTTATTTCACCAAGTTAAAACTGTAAATATTGTCTGTAGACCTGCCTGCATTCAGTGAATTACACTTTCTATGTAATGAAACACTACACACTGCAATTTTCCTGGGTGACTCAATTAATCTGCACACACTGCAGGGATTTTTTTTTTCCCTGTGTATTGCACTTGGTTGCACGGTGTCCTTGCCACACTCAAATAGAAAACCTGTAGTGTGGTGTAGGTCTAAATTGGACACAGAGCTAGAATGTGCACCATTGTTTTCCTTAAGACTGTATATGTGACAGTGGTGGAGGCAACCAGCCTGCGGTGGATGTCAAGAGTTCCTCACAAGAGGTGGGCAGTTATCTTTATAACTCAGCAGGCATGCGCTGGCTGAGAGGACACTGCATAATCAACAACATACCTCACCCACATCGTCAGTTTATTTACCCCGTCAGTGGAAATTAAATTTGAATAGCAATACCAATGGGATCAATATTTTGAAGAAAAAAAAAAAAGATGTTTTTAAAAAAAAAAATAAAAAAAAGATTTCCCTTCAAAATATTTGTCAAAACATCAGTTATCCTCGGATGTACCCCAGAAGGTATACATCCTCTGGTGGTGGGGAGCTATAGATAGCTCAAAGCAGAATCAAATCAAGACTTCACATCTACAAACTGTTTAAAAAAAAAAAAAAAAAAAAGATTCAGCTCCTCCACAAAGCAATGTCAAGAGGCTTGCCACATGAAAGCAGAAGTTGTCCAAAGAGAAGAGGAAAGTACTGACAAAGTTTATGAAGAAAAAAGTAAATGTGTTTTTAATCCTCAGCAGCACATGCAACAATGAGGGAGCCTGAGTGCTTAGATATGCCACCCCGGGGGCAGGCTCTATACTTAAGGCTTACAACAGCCTCATTATCTCCCTCAACTCACATCAGATCCTAGCAGCAGTTTGTCACAGGCAGGCTCCTCTCTGCCAGTAGGCATCAGACCAATCCTCCTGCAACACTACTGTACATAATTGCCATATGGACAGCATTTTGAGCCAGACTGAAGACTAAAAAGCCCTCCAGACAGATTCCCCAGATAACTAAATGAATATTTTATCTCATTTCCATCTAATTTGCACCACATTATTATACAGAACTGAAATTTTTAATTAATTGATAGAACAGATCAAACACAGGTTTACACTTTGATTTTCGGGAGCTGTTATTTTGATAATTTGCATGACTTTTTTCGCACGCCAAGCTTTTTAATCTCCCAGAATTTTAGCATCTCTATATAGAAACACTATAATAAAACATACAGCAAATTAATAACTGTCGCCGCACATGAAATGCTTGTCTTGGTTGCATGAGCAGTTCCAGAGAGAAGTCCTTTTACCTGCCACCCCACTGATTAATTAATTTCACACTGTTTAATTAAATCCACAGTCTGGGGAGTCTGGGCAGCACCGTGGGGAGCCCTATCTGAGCCTTGTGTGTACAGAGATTACCGGGGAAGGTCTCAGACACCCGCTCTCTCGCTGAGGTTGACACTGACGTCACCTTTCTCTGGATACCAGAGCATGATTGTGTCAATGTCATCAGGCAGTTGTGAGCTTTTAGTGCCGGGGACATGATAGTACTGCACCATTTGTTGATTCTCTGCTGGCATTTACATGAACAAAAGGACACTGTAGCATTTGACAGCGCTTGACACAAATTAGCATTTGACACAAGTGTCTGATGAAGTGTGTTGCTGCAGTATGTAAACCCTGGATTTCCATACAGCCAGCTAACTATACAAATACAAATTAAAGCCATCTAAATTGCCATAAATGCAACTGGCTTTAGAGTAAATGAGCAAATTGAAGTTCCGTATCCTGTCCAACACTGTTGTAGGCTATCCAACAGTCAAAGCTTCAGAGACACAGAGAGACACTGTCTCTCTTATGTCAGAACTGAGAGGTGCACAAATGCGTGGCACAGCAGGCAATATGACTGTGTGGGCTGAGAAGCACGCATTTTACTTTTTCTGTTCTCTTGAAACATATTTTTGGCATCTCTAATCACAAACAAACACATTTTGAGTCGGATGACTCAAATTTGTCTTTACAGTACAACTTCAAAATAAGATGACGTTTAAAATGTTACACGATTTATGAGTTTTGAGGACTGTGATATATTGTACACACAAAAATTTAAAAGGATTATACAGATTGTCACCCCTTAATCTGTCATAATAACAAACCTAAACCTGATCCTAGCTGTCGTTCACTCCATCTAATGTTTACATGTTAAGGAAGGCAAAGATAATCAATTAGGTACATGAAGACGGCAGCCTGCTGGTCTGATGTGATGTGATGTGGAACCAGCATTTCCTTGTGCTCTCTACTCGATGTGCCAAGAGCTATTAGAGCAACAAACACTTTGCACAGTTGTAATGATATGAAAAAGTCAAGATATAAAGCAAATTTGCCATTTTCATATACATGGTTATATTTCACATTAAAAAGTTACACTGTATTTTTAATCCTATTCCTCAATTGAGAAACAAAGTGTCAAAAAGTGAAGGGTTTCAGTTGACACAGGTTTCAATAAGGCATTTTTCCTGCATATATGTTTTCATACTGTACGTGCTTGAACATAATGGAAAGAGCCATAACATGAAAGTTGAAAATGAGCAATATACACACTGGAAACTTTAAATTAGCTTTAGTAAATATCATTAAGTCCTGTTTTCATTACGCCTGTCACCCTCTCTCTCCTGTAAAAGCATCACAAACATCACTAGTATTCACACGCTTTTATTCAAACAAACTACTGAACCTCAACAAACAGTGGAGAGTTGTGTTCTTTACTTAGACAAGACCAACTTTTAATAGGCATTCCAGCACAGAACATCAAGACAGTTTTGTCGACTGATACAGCATTAGCTGAAAGAACAGCGCTCTATTTGTGCTTGCCTTGTCCTGTGACAAGAAGACCTATCAGGTGCTCATCCTCATTACCCCCCCCCCCCCCCCCCCCCCCCCCCCCCCCCCCAATCCACCACTCCTCCTCCTCTCCCATCCCTCTCTGCCTCCGACCATCATTCTGTCATCTTCGTTTTCCTTCTTCCCCACTCTCAGGTCTTTTATAAAGTGTCTCCATGCATTACACATTTAACAATGCATTAAAAATAGGCCACCATCAATCAGTCATTCAGTGGCGGAGACAGAATCTACTTGTGGCACCAATTTGGTATGTTTCTCATGGTTCAAGAACGAAAGGAACACTATAAACTCCTGGGCTGCTGTGTATGGGAAACTTAACAGAGATGAAAACACACATTTATGTGCTAATAATACACCGTACCCCATAAAAGCCACCGCAATAATTTTGAATTCCCATTTGCTTGATTTCCTGCGGCACAGTTGTCTTTCCAGAATCCAGAAACAGAATCAAAATAATATATATAAATATATATATATATATATATATGCAGGCGGTAAGCTGTGACAAGATTTCTGTTGATGGGTGCCAGGTTAACATCGTGCCCAAAACAGTGATTTGAGAACTGTGATGCATGATACAGGATAGGTACTAGGTAAAATCTGATGTAATGGTTGGAAGTGAGTCAAACCCTGGGGGCAAATAGTCTGAACACTCTGACTCCAGGTTGCTCACGCCAAAGCAGATGTTGAACTGACGACAGCAGTACAAAAGACAGCGCCTGCATGTTATTCATAAGGTAAGGTTTATATTATTAGGACGGCACATCAAGGTTGCCAAGCTACAGATGGAGCTTCTTTGATAGCCCTATATATATTTAATAAAGAAATACCGAAGAACTCACAAAGTATTTTCACAGTTCCACATGAGTTTTGTTAACACAGTAAAGTGTTCTCCTGCTCAGGCAGAGGTGTGGAAGTCTCCTTGTGAGCTTTGATGTTGCTGCTCTGCTCTGAGGCTTGATCCTGCATTCTGGATTTCGAAACAGACTGCACTTCGTCATGGGTAACAGCTTGAAGAGGTAGACACCAACAGCCCAGACACGCCTGAAAGACCACACACACACACACACACACACACACACACACACACACACACACACACACATATCCACACACACACACACACATACAGGAGACATTCGGTCAGCGGGGCAAAAACACATTTAACATCAGCTTCACATGGAGAAAAAGGCTCATTAGAAACTCTATTTATGTGTGTAGTATTCATAGAATAATGGAAATAGAAGGAGGTCTGGCTTATGTTGTATTAGTAATGATCCGATGTATAAAAACTTCATTAATTCAGAGAGGGCATGAAAGAAAACTGTTTCTCTGTGCAGAGACACTTTGAAAGCAAGCTTTGAGTTGTCTTTTAAACGTAGCAGAAAGGATATCTTAAAGCAAAGAGTATATGATTTTGTACATAAATATTTTACAAAGACCATTATTGCAGAAGAGGAGTATCTTTATGCGCGGTGCTGTGCAAAAACCTGATGATAGCCAAAAGAAATCAAAGCATGTTTTAGATATATTCTTCTGAGTTCGTAATACAATAAAGGCTTTTAAATTTCTTCCCTTGAAATTTGCCTTGAAGCTATGTTTTTTTTTCTTCCTTATAACACATCACTCTGATTCAGTGACAGACTGTCTGGTACATTGCCAAGTGGGTGTTTTTTTTTTTTTCCTGCCAGTGTTTTTCCAGACCATTTTCACTTATTACCCCCTCAGGTCATCCCTCGGTCCAGTCTGGCCATTTTACAGACATGACTCCATATGTCTGCGATGACACATGATAGCTCATCCAACGAGGATCAGATTGTTTTCAACCCCCAACAGCTTAGTCTGAAATCGAATAGCGCTGTACACAGGAACAACAAATATGAGGATGATGCATATATCTTACCTTAAAACATTTCTTGAATCTTTTGCTGACTATGTACAATGCAATAGGGTTGATGCAGGAGTTGAGTGATGCCATTGTAATGCCAAAGTAGTCCAGGACAAGAAAGGCACTGGAAAAAGGAGCATGGCAATTAAGTAAATCACACAAAAGAGCACAGACCAGATAATGAACATTATAAAAAATAAAAAGATTAAAAAAATGGGGGTAGTGTAATGCGCACCTCAGTAGTTGACACCTTTTAGGATCTTTTTCATCATATATAGTTGATTTCAAGATTCTGCTGAGGTACAGCGGCAACCAACACAGTGCAAACACAATCACCAAGCAGAAGACAGTTTTTGCGACTTCCCGTCTCTTTAAAAGAAAAAGTTATAACCAATATTAAAGTTTATGTTGAACATAAAAATGGGGTTAAGCACTTTAAAAGAAATGTCTTTAAAAGCGGAAGGTTAATGAATAACCTGCTTGGTGAGGTCACTTAATGTAGTCTTTCTCAGCATATTCCTGGTCATGAGTGTGTAGAAGACGAGGGTCCAAGCCAGTGGCATGCAAAAGTAGAAGCCGAAGAGCCACCAGTCCTTCACTGATTTATAAAACTGTTGATTAAACATGACAGAAGCCCACAGTCAGTCAAAGCACCAGACGACGCAATGATCAATGGTTTCTATGTTAAAGCATGCAAGAAAGAATATCTGAGACGGTGATAAATATTACTGTATGTTGTGTATGAAAATACAGTCAAATCAAACACATGTTGATCTGTGCCGTTTCATCCTGTTGCTTCATCCCTGTTGTTACATTACCTGCATGAACTGTGTGGTTTGCATGGGATGAAGCAGACATATTCTCAGATGCTTGTCTTTATAGTTCATTGTTATCATATCAAAGCCGACAACTTCAGGCACAGCCAGCAGGATAGAAATAACCCATATCAGAGTTATTTCGATTGCTGTCCATGCTGAAACCCCGCTGCCTTTGATTCGATTCCAGGATACTACAGCTCGGTATCTGCAAAAATCAGTGGGAAACTGTTTTGACTTTTTGTCTGTAACAATGATACATTTTTTTTTTTTTTTTTTCAGTTAAAGAGTATTTCAAGGGCTAATACTATAAACAAATCTGACTCCTTGATGAAATACAGATACTAGCCAGCAAACACTGTTTTTACCTGTCAACACTCAGAGCACATAGGCTCAGCACAGTAATTCCAACAGATGTCTTCTGTATAAAGGGGACAAGTTTGCACAGCAATAAACCGAATGGCCAATCTTCTGCCATGAGCTGAAACAAAAACAAAAGGACATTTTCAGTATGAAAAAAAAAAACAAAAAAAAAAAACACCCACAATCAATTCAAGCTAAGATTAAAGAGAAACAGAGTGAGGTGCAACACTAACTGCTCACCATTAGGTGAATAACTCACCCTGTATGCGTTGATTGGAATGTCTATCACAATGTGGATTAGATCGCCCAAAGCAAGACTCGCAATGAGGATGTTGGGTTCGCTTCTCATGCATTTGTTTATATAAATTATTTTCAGTAGGGCTGAATTCCCCACGATTCCAACCACAAACACAAGCAGAGACACCATGGTATTGACGTATTTGAAGGCATCTCTGATTCCAGCAGACTCCAAGCACATGGGAGGGTGTGGGGCTACTTGGGGTGGATGGATTGAGCTGTTGGATTTCTGTTTTTCTAGTATTAAAAAACCAGGGGAGGCCGTTTCATGGAGTTCAGTAACAGGGAGTGGTTCTGAATGCTGATCGCTGGCTTCTCCTCTGATGAGGATATTTCCCAAACAAATAGCAAGAGCCACAGTCCACATTGTTGATGACGTCCTCCAAAGGCCTTGAAATGTTTTTGCTTTGGGTTTTTTTTTTTTCCCCCCACCAGCACTGGATTGAAAATGAGAGTGAAAATAATTAGTACAACACCTCAGCTTTGAAATTCACAGCAAAGCACTTAGGTAATGTAAAGGATTCATTTAATTTCAATGAATCACAGAGGCAGCATGATATACATTAACAGCACTGATAAAGTATGATACAGTGAACTATGCCAGCTTACCTTCAGATGTGCACATACAAATGCTGCATGAAAAGAATTTCTGTAATACCTACAAAAGTAGGCTGTATGTTTAACACAAAGGACGAGTCTTTGTTGCTGTGCCTGCTATAAAAGTTAGAACCCAGCAGAAGGAAACCAGGGCTTTATAGACTAAGGTACTCCTGTCAGCATTAGTCATCGATCTGTCAGTAGTGACTATAATTACTTCCCTTGATGTATCACCCTGAATAAAAGGATGGTGTTGAAGGGTATTGTCTGTTATCACAGAGTGAGATCATTGTATAGGCTTCAATAGGGATATTATGTTACAGTTGTTTTCCCCTCTTTCACGAAAAACTTGCCCATTTTCTCTGACACAGACTCCACAGAAAATCTGAATGGTGCAAAAATGTCTATTTTAGTGAAGTGAGATATTTTTGTTGCCTATAGCCACAAAGCTTCTATCACTAAGTCATCATTAGTGAATGTAATGGGAAATGGAAAACTGTCCTCTGTAACTATATATGACATTTTAGATGTACATGAGCCTGCTGGGGCCGTATTAGAGTTACACTTAGCTAACTTGCTTAATTAATTTTTTTTTTTTTTTTTTTTTTTATTGCTTTTACATAACCAATGAAATATCAACAGGAGAAACTTATTCACTGAGCGGCTCATGGTAGACCCTAATGATGTGTTGCAGTTTGATGACAAAATATTCATTAGTAGATACAGGCTACCCCGGGCCATGATCTTGCAGTTAGCCGAGCAACTACGACCAGTTTTGGAGAGGCCGACCCAGCGGCACGAGGCTCTCGCAGTTGTGGCGCAACTGACAAATGTGTTTTGTTTTTTTGCTAATGGAGATTTTCAGAGTGAAGTGGCCAATTTCAATGAGAAATCTAATGGGTTACAAAATACATCAGAGAGATGAGATGAGAAAAGTAGTGTCGGTTACAAGGTTACAGTTTAGTTGATAACTGAAGTTGATTTGAGTATTTAGTTTGTCCTAACCTGAGATAAGATGGGACTCCTAAAGTTAATTAGGATTTGCTTCTGTAAAAGTAAATCGGGAAAAATCACACCTTACACTCTCCCTATCTTAACTTAAGACAGGAAGTTTCTGTAATACGGGATGCACAACTACCGCCGGGCAACTGCACTTGAACAATAACAAAAATGATACAAATGGAACCGTGCATTATTCAGTGAATGTCCTCTAGAGATTTTTTTGCTTTGGTTGTCATATCACGTTTTTTTAAAACATGAGTCAGTCTCCATCCTACCAGAGAGATACTGCCTCTGCATCTCCTGAGAGTCCTAAAGAAGGTGACTTCTCCCCTCGACAGATTTATGACAACCTGAAGAGCCTGGAGGAGCAGGAGACATGTGACGACCAGAAAGATCCCATTGTTAATATCGTGCCTGACAACTACTGCAGCTCTCTTTTGAACACTCAAATCTGTGTTCCGCTGGCAACAAATGACCTTGGGAAACTATTTGCTGGCATGTTTCCACAGGAACATCCGATAAAGAAGAGTGAGTTGGTTGAGTTGGATATGGAAAAACATGACAATTGTTAAGCACAAGGATACATTAAAACATCTTTTCCTTTCTTTCCTAAATAGGCCTCTGGACAGAACCAAGATGCTCATGTACAACATCTATAGAACAGGAACTGTAAGGAAATGTAATAACTGATTGATAGACCTATAAACATGGCAATAATATTCAAGTTATATTCCCTTAAGAATTCACAGCGAGTCTGTTTAATGGCCAGATCATTGACCTACATTGTTGCAATTTAATCTCCTGCAGTATGTCTGTAGTTGTTACATTTCAGTTTAAAGGGTCAGCGTGTAGGATTCACTGGCGTCTACCAGTGAGGTTGCAGACTGCAACCAACTGAACACCCCTCCCCTTCCTTCCTTTCCAGGTGTGTAGCAGAACCTACGATGGCCTTCAGGTAATGTAAAAACTGATCTAGAGCCAGTGAAAATGAATCTTGAGCCAGTATTTGATTTGTCCGGTGTGGGATACTATAGAAACATGGCGGTGCAATATGGAGGGCTCCATGGAAGAGGATGCACTCCCTATGTAGATATGAAGGGCTAACAAAAGCTAACAAAAACACAATGATTCTTAGTTTCAGGTGATTATACATGAATGAAAACATATTATATTCCATTTCTGGCAATAGATCCTCCTAAATCCTACGCACTGGTCCTTTAACATGCTGTTCAAATGTATCTGTAAGCAGTTGTGATGCTTGGCCTTTGGTCTACGCCACTGTTAGATGGCTATATAATGACCTAGTCAAGCTGGTCGAAAAGCTTTACATCCTGCAAAAAAAAAAAAAAAACATTAAAAAACTGCCACTGCTGTCTGATTTATGTGGAGTGCTCACTAAAGCTACCATTCGGTGGTGGCATAGTCGTAATGAATGCAGTTTCATTTGAAAACATGGATGGCTGGGTTTATTACAGTTGACAGTCACCCCCTCCAATGGATAAAGGTGGTTGAAAATGTGAATGTTATTCAGTCTCAAAGCACCTGGATTATTACACTGGCTTTTGGAGAAAAATAACAGTAAACTCAACCTTGAAAGTGAAAACTCTAATCTAACTAACTGGCATTTCTTTTTTGGCTTATTTGGTTTTCTTATGATTATACGACTCAACATAATTTATATCCCAGCATGCCATGGTTGAGTGCTGTGGTCCCCTGACAGGCCACCAGTTTATATCAGCTCCACTTAATATTCTTTACATTAACATTGCAATTAATGACTATGTGTACTTTAGCTTCTAAGCAACTTCAGGGTTTGACCTTGTCAGTTACTTTTAACTCGGCAAGCAGCAGTTCACACCAAGAGGCTCAGATAGAATTAAAATATTCTACCTGTCAAGCAACTAACTGTTCAACAAATACTAAACATATTTTTCATAAGAGTTGGAGAGCAAAACAAAGCTGAAAAGAGAGTGAATAGTGTAGTCTATTATTGCTAATATTGCTCCGTCTGCTAGCATATTAGCCAAAACAACTTTATAAAGACTAATGTCAGAGTTATGTCTTTTCTTTTTTTTTCTTTTTTTAGCAGCTTGTTAAGGACTTCCTCTGAATCCAAGAGGCCAAACAATCAATTAATAGAGCTCTAAGATGAATAGAGTTGTTCTGGCAAAGCTGTAATAGCTGTAATTCTTTGTCTCTCATCTGTGTCCTGAGCAGTCCAGTCTCACCAGAGTTCATGGAGGTTTGCGCGCTGGATGGAAGATTCATTACTTTGGTGAGCTCTCAGACCCAGACAGATTGGGAGTGGGTGGAGCATAGTCTCTTTTTCAGCTGTCAAGGTAAGCTATGTTATCAGTTCGGGTGCAAAGGGGTCACCTGTTCCTGCCCCCGTCTTGCCTCTCATGACTTAGACATCTGTCAAATTCCTAATTATTTTGCTCTTGTGCAGTTCAAAAGGAAATTGAAGATCCCCAGTTCCTGCAGGCAGAGGTAGGTGAGCATGGACACTGTCCCCGGTTCTTCAGCGGTAACCTGCACATGGCAAGAAAAAAGAAAAAAAAAAAAAAAAAAGGGGTTATACATTGTCATGTCAGGTCAGGTCATTTTCATTTCTATAGCCCAACCCTGTACAATCTGTATGCTGTAGAGCTGTAAAGCCTTGAGGTTATACATAATGTGTCTGTAAGACACATTATGACACATTATGTCTGTAAGACACATTATGTATAACGTGTACAAATTTTGTATAAAGTGTACAAGTTTTGGATTCTTATATTCATATCAGGAGACAGAGGATGAAAAGATGCCAGAAGAGGAGTATGATATACCTCGTGTGGGTCTTCCTCGTCTCATAGCGTACAAGCCAGAGCCAAAACAAACCCCTCATGATCAAAAGGTACCATCAATTTAGTGCAGTATCTCTATATTACCCATAATACCTGGTCTGCTGGAAATGGCAGTGGTGGCCCATTTCATTTTCACACAGTAATAGCAGCGTGGAGGCTATAATATCAGAGGTGGCGAGGTGATTGTGAGTCTGTTCTCTGCTGCACGGCAGGTTCCAGAGGTTGAATCTAAACCGCATGTGCATGTTGCACAGTGCGACTATTGCCAGCAGCCCTGTCAGCCCTTCATACGCAGTGAACTGCTGGAAAATAAACCCAACTTTAAGAGGGTGAGTGTAGCTTGTTTACCTCCAACAAGAAAATTGAAAATGAATTTATTAGTAATAATGGCTGTTCAGCTAACCTTCCCAGAAGACCGAAGCATCTTCACTTGAGGTGGGTTCATAGGAGAGGAGCACCGTGAGTGAAAGAAGAAAAAAAAAAAAGCCTAATGTTGAAATTTTCTTTTATTCAGCTCTTTTGTTGTGAGCGAGCAAAACAAATGAGAGAGCTTATCCTGGAAGAGAGAGAAAAACTGGCGCAGGAGGAGTCTGATAGAAAAATTGATGTGAACCCTCATGCAGCCATCATCAGCGAAGAGAAGAGGGAAGCTGCAAGAGAGAGAGCGAGGGAGAGGTGAGCAAGATGCATCCTTTTCAAAAACCTTGATCTACATTGATTTGTATATGTTGGTAAGAAGGCTGCTGACAACATACATGTAACTGACTGTACAACATTGCTTGCCATAAAGCAGCGCCATTTCTCCTGGTGGTGTGAAATATGAGGTAGCACCTGAGTTTGATTCTCAGCATGCCCTTCAAGTTTTGCAACTGTATCGCACATTTCAGAAAAACTTTTTTTTTTTTTTTTTTAAATGTAGGTT